ATATGCAGTGCATTGATTAATTGGGTGAGAATTTGGCTGTTTTCTTCACCTGATCTCAATAAGTGACTAGATTGTTGTGTCGGTAGTGGACCTCTCTCTTACTTAAACCGTTCCATTGATACTTAGGCCATATATATATATATATATGCAGTGCATTGATTAATTGGGTGAGAATTTGGCTGTTTTCTTCACCTGATCTCAATAAGTGACTAGATTGTTGTGTCGGTAGTGGACCTCTCTCTTACTTAAACCGTTCCATTGATACTTAGGCCTATTTAGAACACTTTTTGTGACCACTGTGGATTCCGTTGGTGAGTCTTCTTTTCTCTTCTTTATTTTACTATTTGTTGTTTTCACACAAAGTTTGGTGATTGATTTTTTTTTTATTGAACCGTTTAAAAAAAGTTCAATGTACATGCTGTTGTACAGCATGTTAATGTGCAACATGTCACCCATGTTTTTCTTTTACAGACTAAAACAAAAGTCCAACAAGGCATTGATTTGCCTTTAGACTGCAGATAACCAAAGGTCCCAATTCTCTTTTTACAATCTGTATGTGGTTCTATATTTTGTCCTTTGTGCAATTTTGTTTTATCGTTGATTTTTTGAAATTACTTTTAACTTATATAGATCTCTAAAAAGAAATTCAAATCTTAGTGATAATCATAAGATTATAATTAGAATGAGAAACCACACACTATGAGCATATTAAGAATCTATTAAGACCATCATGAACAAGAAATCCAACGTCATAAGACATATATAGGATTTATCTACGTAGAGATAAGAGAGTAAAGGATTGGTCTTCGTAGAGAAAGTCGAGAGTAACATAACGTTTGGAAGAGGGATTCGTGCCATGATTTAAATCATGGTTTGTGGCTCGCTACAGTATTTTCTCTCACAAAAAATACACATAAAACGAGAATGGTTCTGAACCATGGTTCTGAATTCATGAACCAAACGTCTTCTAAATCACAATCCCACACTTTAAAGTGTATATAGGACTTGATTTAAATGCATTATATCTGTTTAATAATACAGAACAAACCAAAAATGTTAGTACAGAAAGAAGACAAATATCAAAACATAGATTTACCTTCTTGACTCGAAATACTAGTCTTCTTCTACTTTCACGCACTGCGCTTCTTCTCAAGTACTATTACTATTTTTTTTTCTACACACTCTTTACTAAGGGAATGTATTTTCTCTCTCTCTTTTTTCCACGTCACTATCTCACCTGCACACACACTTCTAGAATGCACCTGCACACACACACACACCCTTTTTTCTTGCTGGACACTTTTTACCTTGCTGCACACACCAACACCAACGCCTATGCCTTTCTCTAGAAAATGTCCTTTGCCTCTCTTATCTCCTCTTGCTTCTCTTTATAGAGAAGATTTTTCAAGGGAGTTATCTTGCCTTTGTAGCGCCCTAAAAAATTAAACATGTTTAATTATGTTAATTGTGTATATTAATATGTCTAAAATTGATTTTTTCCAATTAATCTTGTGATTAACGATTAAGTTTTCGAGTCATTTTAAGGACTTATAAATTACTTTTATTTTTTCAATTTTCACCCCAAAAGTTTTTGAAAATACACTTAACTTTAATGTGTTTTCTTTTATTTTTCCCTATTTCTTTTCTTTTTCCTTTTTTCTTTCTTTTTCCTGTTCTTTTCTTTCTTTTCTTTTTCCTTTCCCTTCCTTCCCGTGGCTGCCCAGACCAACCCCGCTCTCTCTCTCTCTCTCTCTCTCTCTCTCTCTCTTTTGCTCTTCTCTCTCTCCTCCATTTCTCCACCGCCGGTCCCTCCCTCTCTTTCCCCTTTACTCTAGCCGGCCACCGGCCATCTCTCTCTCCCCCTCTCTCACCGGCGTTCTCTCTCTCTCTCTCTCTCCCTTGCTCTCTCTCTTTCTCTCACCTCTCTCTCCAGTTTGTTCCTGTCGAAGCAGGAAAGAAAAAAAAAAGAAAAAAAAGAAGAGAAAAGCTCACCTCTCTCTCCAGTTTGTTCCTGTCGAAGCAGGAAAGAAAAAAAAAGAAAAAAAAGAAGAGAAAAGAGAAAGAACGGCTCCATCAACTAATTTGAGGTAAAACCCCTTGAAACCCACTCTTTGATTTGAATTTTAAACTTGAGAAGGTTTGATTTTGGTAGATTTGAATAATTTTGAGTTAGGATTTAGATTTGAACAATTGTTGTTAGAATTGAATTAAATTTGGAGATTTTCAGTTATTGGACTTGTTGAATTGAATGGAAACTGATTTTGATAATTTATGGAGAATTTATTTTGAAATTGAACTTGAATTGCAGGTTTGGTATTTTCCCTATATATGTCGGTATGCTGTCGAAATTTCTTTAAAACCTTGTTTTTAAGCTGAAATTAAAAAGGAAAACCAAACCCATGAATTGAATTTTAATTTTTAAAGAACCCCCAAACTGAATTATAAAGTCATTTGTGAAACTTGGATTTTAGTCAAGGCACACTAATAGGAAACAATTAGACATAATTGAACTTGATTTGTTTTAGGAATGAGGATTGTGTCCTAAAACTTTATTTTGTGACAATGTTAGTTGAAGGATCAGATTAAAAGCTTTGAGGAAAGCGGGGACTAGGATAACGAAAGACTAGCCCAGGTTTAATATCTGAGAGGTAGGATATTCTTGTCCATATCCTTGATAACCATGATTTAACTGGTTTTGGCCTATGAAAATGTTTTAGAACAAAACTTGTTTAAAGAAAATGAGTTTAAAGGAAATAGCATGAATAATACTATTGAGTTTCTAATAATTTGGAAATGAGATTTTAAAGAGTTTTCTTTCTTAAAATGAAATATTTTAAGAAATGATAAAACACATGGTGGCCACAAAGATCGGGATATGGGAATCGTATCCTTGTAGGCAGGTCTCGAAACCCGTACGGTCCACTTCTTGCTCATTGGTATTATGGTTATGCATATTTTCATTATACAGATATTTTACTACTACTACGTGAGTATTTCCTTTTTCTAAAAAGGATGATCGGTTCCGGGTGTATGTCTTCGGACCGTGAGTACCTTTGTTTACAATGTTTTATAAAATTATATCCTACAGGGCATTCCGCTCATTTTTCTTCTGTTTTCAATGTTTTAAACCGCCCCCCCCCCCCCCCCCCCCTTTAGAGTTAGCGGTTTAGATTTACAGCATGGCGAGCGGATTCTAATGGATTGAAGGCGCGAGATTCGAAATGGTTAGTTTGTTTCCAATTTACAGTTTTTAATTCTGAGATGTACTGTATTTCTGTATATAACCTGTATTGGTTGACATTGTCCCAGATTTGTACTATTTTTCTTAGATTTATGGATTGTTTTAAATATTGTTTGTAAAAAAAAAAAAAAAAGGACTTCGGAGTAATATATTTTAATATCTATTTTGTATTTTTATATTTTATTTTATTTTTATGGATTTTTTTAATTAATCCAGTTTAATTAAGTTAAATTTTTAATTAAACCCCAAGAATCACGATCCTATCCTTGGGGTCGTGACAGCCTTTTTGCCACTACCCTTTATAGAGAAGAATTTTCAGGGAAGTTATCTTGTATGTGTTGAAAACGATGAAGGCATTGTCCAATCAACAGGCCCCACCTACTGGACCCACATATCCCCTCTTCATGCCCCACGGAACACCATTTATGGGTTCCCAACCATTCAAGATGCAATACCAGCAACAATTCCCACAACCTCATGCATCTTTTCCCCAACAACCCGCAAACTTAAATCAACCACCACCCAACTTTCAGCAACCGCCTTCAAGTTTTCAACAAGTCCCTCCTAATTTACAACGCCCACCACAATACAACATGGGTAATCAATACCCAAACTTTCCAGACCCATTTGGTGGAGAAGGGAATGACGATCATGTGTAACAACGGAAAACTTATGTGATACTTATATTGAGTTATTTGTAGGCATTCTGTTTAGGTTATTGACGTTTTTTACTCATGAACTCTCATTTACTTGTTTACTACCGGCTTATGTACTATGTTATGTTGTGAGTTTACATTATTGTGTTGTATTTGTGAACAATGTAGAATTCTCCCTACGGGCCTTATCCACCTTTAATTTCCCGTTAATGACATTTGTTTTCACACTATGAGATAGGTATTACTTTGAAGAATTGCTATTGTTATATTGTTGTCAAATTATTTGTTGCATATCTGTATTGTAGAGCATATACCACTTTCAGGGACCATGTCGAATGCCGGCCCATCAAACCAAGGAAACACCCCCCCTATGGATGGTAATTATGACTCTGAAGATGACTACGTACTTGGTGATGCCGCAGTGTGGCTATGTTGTGTTGATTTCTTCAAAATACCTCTTCCTACTCCAAGAAATAATAGTCATTATACGGGTCATCAGCGTCTTGGTGATTTGCTAGATGGACACGAACTAGTAATCTACAATAAGATAAGAATGGGAACTGATTGCTTTAAGAGGTTGAGTTGGTTACTTGAACAAAAGAATCTACTAAAGAGTACTAGAAATATGAACGTGGATGAACAACTGGTTATATTCCTCATAATTATGTGCCAAAGCGAAAGTAATAGGGAGACGCAACATCGGTGGCAGCATTCGGGTGCCACAATCTCAAAGTATTTTATGATTGTCCTGAATGCCATCTATCGACTATGACATGATTTCATTGTGCTCCTGGACTTTAACACTATCGAGCCGTTCATTAAAGCTAGTGGGAGCAAGTACAGGCCTTGGTTTGATGTAAGTCAACATAACATCTTACTTGATTATGCTTAGTTTATGTTACATAACCTTGTTTAATGTGTCGTACTTATCTACTTTTACTTCGCAGAACTGTGTTGGTGCACTTGATGGGACACACATTCCTTGCGTTCTGCAGCCCGACAATGCGGAGGTATGGAGAAATAGGAAGGGATTTATGTCTCAAAATGTTTTGGGTGTATGTTCGTTTGACATGAAGTTTACATACATGCTTGCCGGGTGGGAGGGATCTGCACATGACGCCCGCATACTTGAATCCGCCCTTGATGGGTGACACAAAAAGTTTCCAACTCCTCCTGAAGGTAAACATCGTTTCTGCATTGTTAAGTGGTAAAAGATCATATGGTTGTGGCTAGTGCCTTTGTAGAATTTGGAATTTAATTGTCTTTTCGGATGATTTTATAGGAAAATTTTATTTAGTAGATTCGGGCTATGCAAACAGAAGTTGTTTCCTAGCACCATAGCGTGGTAGTACGTACCACTTGCAAGAGTATAGGGCACGCCGTGGATGACTTCGGAGTGAGCGGGAGTTGTTCAACTACACGCACTCATCGCTCTGGAATTGTATCGAGCGCACATTTAGGGTGTGGAAAGCAAGGTTCCGCATTCTCAAGATCATTAACAACTACCCAATGAAGAAACAAGTAAAAATACCTATTGCTTGTGCGGTCATACATAACTTCATACACATGTTTCAGCATGATGATAGATTTATGACCCAATACTTTCAAGATGGGGTTCCGGTAAGTGAAATCGACCCTGAAAATGCGGAACAAGATGTAAATCAAAATCACAACCCAGATCGGGCAACGAAAACATACCAATACAACATCTCCTAGGCAGATGAGCCTCCTAAGGGATGAAATGGCAAGGTCAATGTGGCAATCCCAACGAGGGAACATCAATCCATAGTAAGCAAGTGTTTGATAATGTATAAATCGACACATTTGAGGCAATGTCTATTTTCTCTTTTTTTCCTTTATTCGGTTTTTTTTTTATGGGACAGGTAATTTACTCCATTAATTAGTTACATGTACTTCTCATTTGAATATGACATGTAAAAAAAATTAGAAACGTGGAATGCTCTTCAATTTGAATGACAGAAGTTGTTTTTTTCCTTCATTTTATCATTTAAAATGAAAGAGAATTGAGATGGTAGTTGGAATAATGAATCTGTGAAATGAACACATCACAGCTTGAATTGTGGGTCAAACTTGAGACTCCAATGCACTCCTAAACACTAACTCCAATTCTAATTACAATTCCAATCATGATTCTAACTCCAATCATAACTTTAACTCAAATTGTAAAATTTTAATTGATGAAGTGAACACACCCTTTGTTTCTCAAGTTTCTTGTCGCTTTCTTGTCGTTTTGTTGAAAATAGAAATGAGAGTACCAATGTACTACCATAAGTTGCTTTCCTATGAGCACCACCACAAAACTAAACTTTAACTAACATAAAAAATAATTACGGAAAATTATAAAAACCATTCATTTGGATTTCACTTTTAATGTATTCTAATGTCACCTTTCCAAAAAATTTTATCTTTTATTACTTTAAGGGACAAAAATCTGAATGTTCAGGATCTTGGATTTACAACAACACAAAGCAACCACACATGTGGACCAACCAAGTCATACATGTTCTCCCTGTTTTCTTTTCAGAATCGATCATAAAAATACACGGTTCTATCTACCATCTTGCTAACTATGAATGGGTAAAAGAGGGCTCAACCAAAAAATTCACGATCCTGTTCAATAAATTTAAGCCAAATACGGTTTCTTCACAGTTGACTTTAACGGAAATGTTCAGTGGTTCCCAGCATTTACCTTTGACAGTAATTGTGATTAAGCACAGCTTTGAGGTGCTTAAGATCTCGCTGCTGAACCGTAAGGACAAACCCGATGCATCGTCAAGGTTTGTAGCAATTGGCATATCCACGGATACGAGGAAAAGGTTTGCATTGCTTAGCATCTTCAATGCCAGTCTTCTGCAGATTTCAAGGAGATTGTCTGTTGTTACTAATGAGCTCTCGTCTTTGTCCTTATTTAACTCCCCAATGTGGTCGCTGAAGGTGCAACTGTTTCACATGATGCAAGATAAAACCACTTTAGAGGACCCATTAAACAAGATAAAAACAGAACGGGTGTATCAGAAAACTTCAAAGCCAAGATGAGTCTAGAAAATGGTCAGCAGAAAAGACTATTTTCAACACGTTAACTTTAATAGTGAATACAGAGTAGAGTTTGCAATGCTTCCATATGCAACGGAATAAGTCAGTAAATTTGGTCTAAACAGTTCTTCAGTATAAAAGGTTAAAATTTGTTCATTCTATTCCATAACTTTCTTTCACAGAATCTATTTTGAAAACTTCTTCCACATTTAATTCGTCTATAAGGGAGCAAAAGCTGGAATCACAGTGGCAGTTCCCAACAAGCTACCTCTATCTTTAGTTTGGGTTTTTCTTTCCTTCTTTTTTCCCTATGATTATTGTTATTATTATATTTTTTTTATAAGGAAAAAGAATTTATTGATAAAACCAATAATAGCAATCAACAATTACACGAAAGGAGGATAAAATATCTTCACTGCTAGACAAAAATAAAACACAACGCATAGCAACACAACAAATTAAAAGCCTATCACATCTTTCCAATTCAAAACAATCAAAGAGAAAGGAAACCCCTTAAAGGCTTTGTCAGTCGACGCCCATAAAGAGGCTGTAAACTTTGTTTTCTCAAATAAGTCTGTGATGTCCATCTCCCTTTCGTCAAAACTTCTGGAGTTTCTCTCCGACCATAGAGTCCATAAAACTGACAGCACCAAGCTGTTCCACATCACTTTACCCGTCTTATTCAGTTTCAAGCCTGACAAATCTTCCTTCAAAACCGAATTGCAATGAGCTGGAAAAACTCAGGAAAAACCGAATTCGAATAATAATCTCTGCCAAACCACCGGACGATGTAACAATAGATGGTCTATAGACTCGTCACTATCTCTACAAAGAACACACCAAGAAGGGGATAGGGCCCTATGGGGTTTCTCTTCTACACCAAATCACAAGTATTCAATTTCCCAAGTGCAACCAACCAAGCGAAGACTTTAATTCTATGGGGGACGCAAGATCTCCATGTGAATTGAAAAGAATCGAAATTCAAATTTTCAGGACAATCCACTAAAGAAGAAAAAAAGAACGATACCAAAAACCCTTAGGATCACACAACCAAATTCTTTGATCAGGACTAGAAGGCTCAAAAGGGGAAGAATTGATTAATTGAAGTAGAGAGTACAAATCCTCTGCTTCCCTATTATTAAGACCTCTTCTAAAACCAAGATTCCAATTCGGATCCTCATTCTCAGATTGTGAACGAATTTGTGCGACAAAAGCATTAGGACATTCTGAAATTCTAAATAGACGAGGGAACAAAATTTCTAAAATTCATTATCACACCACTTGTCTTTCCAAAACAAAATTTTAGACCCATCCCCAACTCTCAATTTTGTGTTTTGAAGGAAAGAAGCCAGGCCCTGACAGATGAATTTCCATGGATTCCTAAAAGATTTCCTAGTCACTAGGTTTGAGTCCCAACCATTTGGTTTCAGCCCATGTTTACTCCTGATAACTTTAGCCCACAGACAATTTTGTTCCAAAGGGAATCTCCAAAGCCATTTCCCGAACAACGCCAAATTCTTCTTCTTCAAATTCCCAATCCCAAGACCACCCTTCTCCTTACTTCTTGACACAACATCCCAAGCCACCAAACTTCTTGAATTATTGCCCCCCTGATTTTCCCAAAGGAAATTCATCATCATTCTTTCCAAAACATCCACTACTGAACCAAGCATCTTAAATAAGGACATGTAGTAGGTAGGAATGCTTGCAAGGACGGATTGGATTAGGGTTAATCTCCCACCCCTTGATAAGAAAGCTTTCTTCCAACCATCCAATATTTTCCCCACCTTTTCAATGACCGGTAACCAAAACTCTACTGACAACGAATTCCCTCCCAACGGTAGGCCCAAATATTCATGGGCCATTCACCCACTTCACACCCTATGGCTGCTGCAGCTTCTTGTATAAAGTTCTCCCCTACGTTGATCCCCACCAATGTACTTTTATCCAAATTAATCTTCAAACCCGAGCATGAAGCACAAAACTTTAGGATTGCCTTTACCTTTGTCATGTTACTCCCAATAAAAACAACGTATCATCAGCGAACTGAAGATGTGACACCGAAACCACCTCTCTACCAATTAAGAAACCCTCCACGACACCCAACTTGAGAGCTTTGTCCATTAGTCTACCAAACACATCCACTACTAAAGTCAAAAGAAAAGGAGATAGTACATCTCCTTGTCTTAAACCCCTCGAAGCTCCAAATCTCCCTCCAGGGCTTCTACTGATCATTATCGAATAATTTGCCGATGACAAACATGCTTGTATCCATAACCTCCATTTATTACCAAAACCCTTTCTTCTCCAACACCTCACCTAGAAACTTCCATCTCACATGATCATAAGCCTTTTCAAAATCCACTTTGAACACCAATCCCCTTTTCTTCGTTGACCGATACTCCTAAACGGCCTCATCAGCGATGAGCACCACATCCAAAATCTGCCTATCCTTCACAAACGCCAAGGCCCCTTGTGACATTGAAATTGTACCACTCAACACCTCTCTAAATCTGTGTGCCAAAACTTTTGCTATGATCTTGTATACGATTGTCACCAGACTTATAGGATTAGTAGTCCTTCAATCTCCTTGAATCAGACTTCTTCGGAATAAAACAGAAAAGTATGATTAATAGCAGAGTTAATCACACCATTCCTGAAAAATTCCTCAAAGACTTTTGTAGAAAAATCAGGACTTAGATAGAAAGATCCCTAGATTATAGGAGTAGACGTGTCTATAGGAATTAGTTAGAGTTGTTTACATTTTATACTCTTGGCATTACTAGTGTATATAAAAGGCTGAACATCCTAATGTAATTAATTAAGTTCCAATATTAAAAGCAGTGTTCTGGCATGTTTCCTTCCTCATACTTGTTTACATGGTATCAGAGCCAAACTAAATTAAGTGTGAGTTGAGGAAAACAATGGTCGATAATGGAACAACCAGGGGTGATGGTTCGGAAGTCTCTTCGGGCTCCATCCAACCAATCCCTAAAATTGTTCCCACTGCAATATTTGATATTTAGACCCACACTTCCCTACAAATCACGACCCAAAAATTGAATGGGAAGAACTTTCTCAAATGGTCGCGTTCTATGATGATGGTTGTCCGTGGTAAGGGAAGACAAGGGTATCTTGATGGAACTATTTCACAGCCGGCCCTTGATGATCCAAAGTACTCTGCTTGGGAATCACAGAACTCGATGGTCATGGCGTGGCTTATTCATTCTATGGAGGATCACATAGATGATACCTATATTTTATTCCCGACGGCGAAAAGTATTTGGGATGCCGTCTCTCTTGCTTACTCGGATCTGCAGAACTCGTCTCAAATGTTTGAATTGAGAACTCGTGCTCGCAATCTCCGACAGGGGGAGAATGATGTTACTCAGTATTATACTGAGTTGACAAAACTCTGGCAGGAGTTGGATCTATTTATCACTCGACCGTGAAAAAGCATGGACGATGCTGTGATGTACAAGGAGATGGTGGATGCCGATCGCACCTATGATTTCCTGGCTGGCCTGAATCCGGAGCTTGATGATGTCCGCAGTCGTTTGATTGCATTGAAGCCACTGCCGAATATTGGCGAAATCTTTGCAGAAATACGAGGTGAAGAACATTGTAGGAGAGTGATGCTTGGCAATTTTTCGAAGACTGTTCAATCTACACCTTCCACCGACTCGTCTGGATTGGTGACTCGTGGTTTGGACTCTCGTACAGATGCGCGAGGCTTGCAGAAATGGTGCGATCATTGCAAAAAACCATACCATACTCGAGAGACATGTTGGAAACTTCACGGTAAGCCTGCCGACTGGACTCCAAATCGTGCTAAAGGATGTGATGGAAAAGGGATGCAGGTTTCATCCGACGTAGTGGCAGATAATCAACTTCGCACAATCTTCTCAAAGGAGCAGTTAGATCAACTTCGAAAAATGTTTTCTGCAACACAGTCCGCCTCTTTGACAGCCCAGCAAGGTACCTCTGTAAATTCCTTCGGTGGCCTGACTACAAAAGCAGAACCTTGGATTATTGATTCCGAGGCAACCGATCATATGACAGGTTGTGAAAAATTGTTCATGTATTATTCTCCAAGTCTTGGAAATCATCGTGTTAAGATCGCCGATGGTTCTTTTTCCGCTGTTGCTGGAAGTGGATCCATCCAACTTGGATCAAATATTGTTTTGAAATCCGTATTACATGTTCCCAACTTGTCTTGCAATTTGTTGTCCATTAGCAAGCTTACCCGTGATATGGATTGTATCGTGAAATTTTCTCCTTCTTCTTGTGTTTTTCAGGACCGGATTTCGGGGAAGAAGATTGACAGTGCTAGGGAACTTGCTGGTCTCTATTACTTTGAGGATGATTTTTCTGTGCGTGGTTTGGTTCAAACGGTTGTTAGCACCTCCTCAAGCTCTCGGCTTCAGCACATTATTTTGCTTCCTAATAGACTAGGACATCCAAGTTTCAGTTATATGAAATTTTTGTTTCCATCCTTGTTTAAAAACGATGATTCATTTCAATGTGAAATTTGTCAGTTGGCTAAACATACTCGTGTTCCTTTTCCACCTCAACCTTATCACGCATCTAACCCATTTGCCCTAATTCATAGTGATATTTGGGGACCATCCCGCATTGTGACACTCACAAGGAAAAAATGGTTCGTTACTTTTACTGATGATCATACTCGTGTTTGTTGGGTCTATCTTTTAAGAGAAAAGTCCGAAGTTGCGACTGTGTTTCAAAACTTCCACTCCATGATTCACACTCAGTTTAATGAAAGTATTCGTATATTACACACCGATAATGGTAGAGAATTTTTTAATACTGTCCTGGGAGATTTTCTCTTAAAAAATGGTATTATTCATCAAAGTTCGTGTGTTGATAGTCCACAACAAAACGGTGTC